GTAGCTCAGGGGTGCAGCACTGGCCTCGCATGTGTAAGGGGCTGGGTTGTAGCTCAGGGGTGCAGGATCTGACCCACAGCACCACATAAAAATAAATAAATAAATGCATGAAGAAAAGTCGCATCTGATTATGAAAAAAGTGGGGGAGGGGGCTGGGGACCCAGCTCAGCTGGTAGAGGGCTTGCCTCACAGGCACGAGGCCTTGGGTTCAGTCCCCAGCACCAAAATAAAAGAGTGATGAGGAAGACAAGGGACAACGAAGTTTGGGCAAGGACCTTGCAAAGATATGACTGTCCCCTCTGCATCCTCCCTGCCCAGAGATCTGCTAGGTAGGTGGCCATGGTGACAGAGCCCCTGGAGGCCCGGGATGCTCATGGGTCCCCACAGGGAAGGGCCACCACCTCCTCCCAGAGGGGAGATGGATGCTCAGCGGGAAGATGCTGCCAGCCATGTGCACTGACAGGCGCAGGGGCCCCCATTGTGAAAGGCAGCCTCCCAGAGCATGGGGTGCCCTGTGGCAGGACTTACCAAGTGAGCAGCCCAGTGTCTGTGGACAGCAAGCCAACCAGCAGAAGTACCACCCACGCCAGGAGGAGGGCCCAGAAGGACCTGTGGGCAGGACCCCTCAGTGCCACGCAGGATGGGCAGGGAAGGTGGCCTCTTCAGTCCTCCCCTAGCCACGGGTGACCAGCGCCAGCAAACAGGCCAAGCTTCCCACTCTCCCCTTCTCTCCTGCACAAGGCCACCAGCCCCCCAGGGCCAAAGCCTAGCTGTCCACGAGCTCCAGCTGTCTTGGTCCCTGGAAATGGACAACACAGCCCTCCTGGGCCACAGAGCCTCCCATGGGGCCACTGCAGGACCACATGCCCCCCACCTTGGGGCCTCACAGTGACTCACAGGCCCACACAAGCCCTTTCTGGGTCACACAACCCCAGGGGCAGCTCTGTCCCCTGGCAAGACTCCCCTAGACTCCATACTCAAGGAATGTAGGTTGGCGGGAGGGCTCCTGACCTCAGGTTGGGGTCACAGCAGTGACAGGAGACTGATAGAGAGGCCCCCAGTCAGGGACACCCTGACCCTCCTGGAAGTTGAGAGGCTGTGCCTCAATCATGGCAACGGGAGCCCCTGCAGGCCTGGTCCCTCTGGGCACTCGGCAGTCTGGGCGTCTCGGGGCACAGGGCTCTGCATGATCCCCATGACTTCCCTTGGCAGGTTGGGTTCACTGTGGTCACCAGAATTGGGCAACCCCAGTCAGGTGACCCCTCGTCTTGGCTCCAGGCAGTACCACAGCACACCTTCCTGGCTGCACTGCCCACAGCTGCCCCCTCTCCCCAGAGCCATGGCTTTCTGCCTCCCAACAAGCTGAGCTTGCTGGCCCAGGACTGGGGAGTCTCCGGCATTGACACAATTCTAGGAAAATAAACAAGGGGCTGAGGTGTTCTGGGTTCAGGGCTAGAAGTGACTCAGCATAGCCCAGGAGGCTGAGCCCAGTGTGGTGTACTCAGAGCTGCCGGGACCCTCAGAGCCCCCAGGGCTGCCAGCCTGTGAGGCAGGGTCTGAAGCCAGAGAGGCCACCACCAGAAGCCCACCCAGCCAGGTGCGGTGACACATGCCTATAATYCCAGCAGCTCGGGAGGCTGCGGCACAAGGATCGAGAGTTTAAAGCCAGCTTCGGAAGCACTAAGCAACCCAGCGAGACCCTGTCTAAATAAAATACAAAATAGGGCTGGGGATATGGCTCAGTGGTCGAGTGACCTTGAGTTCAACTCCTGGTACAAGAAGGAGAAGGAGAAGGAGAAGGTGGTGGTGGTGGAGGAGGAGGAGGAGGAGGAGGAGGAGGAGGAGCCACCCACCCAGGATCCCAGAACCCATGCCCAGGGCTCCTGGGTCTCTTGCAGGCAATGGACTCACTCAGGTGGCTCCTGGGAGCACAGCAGGGTCCATGCAGATGTGTCCTGGCTACAAAGACAGCTAATCAGGGGCCCTGGCAACCAGAGGACCTGAGCGTGGCTCCCACCAGTGAAGGGACCAGACCCAGCTGTGGCACCTGCAGCACGGCTCGAGCTGTAACGTGCATGTGAACCTGCAGTCTGAGGGCTGGGGACAGGGGCAGAAGGAGGGAGCCAAAATGGAAGCCCCTCCCTCCCTCAGCCACGAGCCAGAGGGGTTCTGTGAGGTGGTGCCAAGCGCTCATCCCAGGAGTCCGACCAGGCCTGTGGCCCACAGAGGAGGCAGTAGGACCAGGCAGAGAACGTGGGCTTCACTCGGCAGGAACCTCCCCAATGACGAGCCACAGGAGTGAAATGCAGCGGATCTGAACCACACTGAAGAGAACCCTGCTCTGCTGTCCCTGGAGGAGAAGCAGCAGGTCCTAGCCCAGCCACACCCCACAACTGCTGCAGCAGGTCAGGGACAAGCACCTGACCCCTGAGCTCCCTATACTGCATACATGTGGCAGGGGCTCATGCCCCAGAGTGTCCCTTCAAACACAGGGTCCAGCTTGGGGATGGGACAAAGACCTCCACACCAAGCCAGGTCCCAGCCCCATGGCCCCTCCCCCAGCCATCAGCCCAGACTCAGGTGGTCCCAATGCCCCTCTGCTGGGGGTGCAGCACAGACCCCACAAGCTCCCAAAATACAAAGGACTTGCCCAGGAAGGACAGAGAYGGGTCTCCTCTGTCTGAAACGAAAACAAATGGCCAAACTCAGGAATGTGCCAAGATCAATCCCCCAGATCCAAACAGACTTCCTTTTAGAGACAAACAGGAGCTCATCTGCACTTCTCAGGATGTTCAAGGAGTGAGGGCCGCTGTCCTCCTACACAGGCCCATGCCTCACCTCAGCAAGCTGCTCCGCCTAGGAGGCATGCTGGCCACAGAGCCTCGAGCACCGTCAGTAGGTTCAAGTGACCCAGGTCCCTGCATTGGGCACCTGCTGGTTATAGCTCCCTGGGGCCCAGGCACCAGGTAGACGTGGCAGCTGTACAGAGCATGAATTTAAGCCCCAAGAAGCTCACCTGCAGCTCAGGTGTGGGCCACGCCCTCTCTCACCTCAATCCTAAGGCTTAACTGTTCTGTCCTCAGGAAGAACTGAACCTTCTGGCCTCCTTCCCTGGACCTGCCCTCCTCCATCACCAGGTGGGGCCTGGAGCAGAGGAGTGTTCTGGGAGAGTGGGCTTGGAGGAAGCTGTCCCCACTGGAAAGGGGCCCACCAGGACCACCAGGGATTCTGCATCCAAATAAAAATAGGACATAAATATCCTGATGTGTGGAAGGTCGAGAATTCACAGATCAAGGATGATGAGATGAGGCACAGGCTCGGATGCTAGAGGCGCTCTTCTGAGACCTTCCTTTACACCAGGCAAAGATGACCCTGACATCCTGGGGTGTACAAGAGGCACTGGGGCAAGAAATAAATTCAAATGTCTGTTTGTAGGTTCTCTGTCTGGTCACGGCATGGAATTTCATTCCTTTCCCCAGGAAACAAACATCATTCCGAGTTGAACGACAAACCACAGGGCTGTTTGGCATATTTGGCCCCAAGAGTTAAGTCCACATGGATAAAAGTTTCTTGCAGATCAACGAGAAAAAGACAAATACCCCAAAGATGTACAAGCCAGGCATGAGGGCAGGCCCCTCTTGCAGTCCAGCGGTCCTGTAGTCTGAGCCTGCGCGTGGTGTCTGTGCCTGTGGAGGTGGGTGCACAGGACACCATCCATCCCTGTCCACTGACCCTCGAGTCCATGTGGGTGCTGGCCAGTGACACTTGAGAGGAGCATGGGTCAGTGCAGAACCCTCTTTCAGAACGCTCTGCAGGCCCCCAGAGCTGTCCCGGAGCACAGGGGCTGCAGACTAGCAGACAAGCAGCAGAGGAGGAGCAGGGCTGGCTGGATGGGCTGCTCTCCCCCAGGTGCTTCCTGTGCCCCCACATTCCACCTCTAGACAGGTTCTTCCTGCTTCTCCTGCCCAGACTGCCCAGGCTCATGTGCACCCAGAGCCTCTCAGACACCTCTGTGGTCCAGGCTACAGTGATAGGGCTGGTGGGCCCAGCATGCAGGGCACCTCCTTCCCAGGTTGGGGCCCCAGCAACCCAGGTTCTGAGTAGCTTTTGGGCCCTGAACAGGAAGCGCAGGCCAGCTACCTTTGTGCCACTGGGGCAGGTCCCAGATGAGGATCAAGAATGGATGTCCA